TTGAGTATCTTCTACTTAGTTATTTGGACTGCGAGCGTTTAGACTCGACTGACTGAAGAGGGACTGCTCGCAGTTAAGTAACAAAGTAACTGAGGTAACAAGGCTGTAACAGAAGCTAGCAGAAAACACCAAGTAACTGAGGTAACAGGGGTAGCAAAGTACCGTAAAATTCCGAAAATAAGCCCCTCCAAATATAAGCCCCCCAAACCCGTAACGCAAAATACCCTCCGTTAAATCGGCCCTCCAAATATAAGCCCCCCGGGGGCTTGTACTTGGAAATTGCCCTCAAATGCAAAGTAAAACAAAACAAAAACGGTAAATTTCCTTCCAACTATAGGGCTAGCCCAATCGATTTTGAAACGCAAATTTCCCTCCATAGATAAGCCCCTCTAAAAGCTTCTAAACGGGCCTTTAAAAATATAAGCTCCGGGGCTTATTTTCAGAATTTTAAGGTAACTGAGTTACAAGGTAACCGAGGTAACATAGTAACAAGAGATAACAAGGCAACTGAAGTAACAAGGTAGCAGAAGCTAATAGAAGTAACAAAGCAACTGAGGTAACAAGGTAAACTGAAGTAGGCATGGTAACTGAAGTAACATGGTTACTGATGTAACAGAGTAACTGAAGTAACAGAAGTAACTGAACTAAGTATCAGAGGTAACAAGGTAACAGAAGTCACAGGGTAACATAGGTAACAAGGTTAAAATAAAAGAGGCAATTAAGTAACAGAGGGATACAAGATTTCAGTAAGAAAAAGTGCATTTAAAGATGATTGTGATTAGATTGTTGAGAATATATTTAACATTTGTTAATGGCGAAGTCACTTCGAGGAGAGGACTTTGTGACCTTGCTTCATTATGTAAACGTTCACATATTATTACACTTCCTTTTCAGCGTACTCAGCTTTAAATCCTGGCCAATCAATGTATCGATCATAGTTCGTTTAATAACGACTTAGTTTTGCTTTGCGTTATTTTCCTCACTTATATGTGTTGTCCGCGACTGTGCTCACAAGGTGGGTGGCTCCTCCTAAAATGTTCTGCAATTGGTATAGGATTTAATGGAGCCGAAACCAATTGTGGAATTGCACGCATTTTAGGCATCCTACTGATGAACAGTTGGGACACGTAGATATATTTTTTTGCAGCTACTATAATTTGCAGTCTGTCTACTTTGAATAGCTTTATTTCAATTCGGGTTTTAGAGTATAGTATCTTCGAAAGAGGAATAATAAATGAAATAATGAAAATAGAAATAGTACAATTAGAATACATGCCACATAGAAATCAATTACACACATATGTACACAACTATTTTTTAAAAGTTAACTGCTTTATACATCATTTGAAAGTATTCAGATCAGGAGCGCTTCTTGTTTCATCGGGCAGAGATTTCCAGGTGGAAATAGCTAAGTATTTGAGCGTTTAGTCCAAAAGTAGTGGTGGCGACCTTCGGCACAATGAGCTTTTTAACCCCCCTGAGATTATACTTACTAATACGAACATGAAACAGAAAAGTTAAATAGAAAGGTGCCATATTGTCCAAATACTTATAAACGAGTGTGGGCATATCCTGGATTCTCGCGTCTCTTAAGGAACCAAGTGAGTACCTGTCTGCAATAGAGTACCGAAGTGTGACGTCATAAAAAATGAAATTTGTGAAATTATGGGATTTGTTAAGATATTCCGAAAGAACAACGTCCAAGACGCCTACTCGCCAAAAATTAGCAATTTGGGGCAGATTGTCTCTGAGATATTAACCCAGTTATGCTCCGATGACTCCATACAAATCCTTCTAAATCTTACCTGGTTCCTAATCTTATGAACCAAGCCAAATTTAGAAGGATTTGTATGGAGTCGTCACAGCATAACTGGGCTAATATCTCAGAGACAATTTGCCCCGAATTGCTAATTTTTGGCGAGTAGGTGTCTTGGACGTTGTTCTTTCAGAATATCTTAACAAATCCCATAATTTCACAAATTTCATTTTTATGACGTCATCACTTCGGTACTCTATACGTCGCGTGACTGAACGCACTGGGTACTTTTGGTACTCTCTCTCAGACTGCTAATTTTAAAATGATCGCCTTTTTCTAGTTTAGTGTTAGCAATATGGTCTTTCACCGTATATTTCTCAGGAAAAAGGCTATCATTATTACATCCAAACACGGCACAAGGATCGTTTTTCCCATTAGAATCTTATTCTAAGAAAACTTTAAGAAAAAATGTAAGAAAAGCGCTCGAAAATACAAACGGAATGTGCTCAGGCCCCCTTGTGCATCCTATAATACTCTTTAACTCCAAGTAATTCAATATGGCCGCCGTATCAGTAAAAAGGTCTATTGGATGGATATGCTTCATGACATGTGCACAGAGTTGTTGCGATGCGCACGCGAGGGACTGTCAGAACTTTGAGAACATGCAGGAGGAGTTTGTACACGCCCATCTAAACAAACCCTACATGAAGATAGTTGATCGTGTTTTTCTCAGTCTTCTCAACATCGGAGGCGAGGTGGAGAAATTAGAAGCTGGTACCATGTCAGAGGTGGTTCGTCCGAGAGGAAGAAGCCACATTCTCCTTTTCTCTGCTGTGGGTTACGCCATAGCTTTGTTCCTGTTGATCGTAGTATTGGCTTTCCTAGTGTACCGGGTGCGAGTCCTCAAGAAGAAAAAGGAAATAAAAGAACCACATCCAACACATCCCTAAATAGGTGTGAAGGTATAGAGAGTGTGCCGAACATGAATAAAAGGCACTGTACAGTTTCATATTAATCAAGTAACGTAGTATTATTCGAGTGGATGTGAATTCGTTTTGACTTTAAGAGAATTTTACCAGATCATTTATTACACATTGTTGAACAGGAAACGTTTTGTCTTGATTTGTATCATCTCTAGTTGTTTCTAACTGTTTTAGCGTACATGCGATATATGAACCTAAGTCTGTTTTTCTGTAGTCTGTTGTCTAGTCCTCATCCATATTACGATTTTTTTTCATACACTTTGTCACGGTTTTCGACGCCATCTTGACGAGTAGGCAAACGCGTGAGAAATTACTGTGTTTGTATGAGAATCTAATGTCGAATAATTTCCCTAAAACGGCTGTTCTGAAAAAAATATCAATTGTAAACTAAAGCCACAAAGCAAAGGACTGTCCCAAAAAATTGGGGGCGTACCTGTGCTTAAATTTCTCCAGAGGCTTGCTTTAGATTTTCCATATATTTGTCTGTAATTTTCCCGAGACTTTCTTACAGACAAATGTATAGAAAATTTTAAAAAGTGGTTCTAGGTCTTCTAGTGCAAGTAACGCCCTCAAATTTTTTCAAGAGAATCCTTAGGAGTGAAGCTTTAGTTTACAAATCATATTTTTTTCAGAACAGCCGTTCTACGGAAATTATTCGACATTAGATTCTGATACAATCACTGTAATTTCTCACACGTTTACCTACTCGTGAAGATGGCGTCGAATACCATGACGAGGTCTATTTACTGTAAACTTTCCTTAGTTAATAGCCTTAGGGCCTGTTTACATGGAGTGGGGGACCCCGGTCTAGTGGGGTTGGTTTCTTTTGTTTTCACGCTCTGGGGGACACAAAACAAAAGAAACTTACCCCACTAGACCGGGGTCCCCCACTCCACGTAAACAGGGTCTTAGTCTTGATTTGTATATTTTGTACTCATTGTCCCGTCTCGGATAGCCTTGCTAGCTACGGGCAATACTTCTGTAATGTTATTTGTTTATTATAAAGTTTTGTTGATGTTGTTAGTCTTAGTTTAGCTTTTAACCTTTATTTAGCTGAGAACTAAACGCGAGCTGATTCACATGTAGCTGCGTTTGAAGCAGAAGACACGAGCGCGGAGGGTTAAAATAATAATAATGATAATGGTATTTATTTCAACACGATTTTAAGAAAAATCAGCAAAGCAGTGATGTGGTCGTATGCATAATAATAAAATTAAACTTCCTAACTAATCACAGTGAGACTAATACAAGAAATCTACGTATTTACTACAATGAAAATTCTACACAGTGCATTATTATAATATATGTGGCTTAAAAATACACTTGAGTGACTTTTTAAAAGCATCAATGTCATGAATTGATCTCATTTGGTTTTCTAGGGCATTCCACCGAATAATTGACTTGTTTGAGCAAGATTTCCTTACCATATCGGTCTTAGGCCTCGGTAACTTAAAGGTCATTTTCCTCCTCAGATCGTAGCTGCTTACATACTTTTCAAAAAGACATTTCGTAGGACATGGTAAAAGATGATAATAANACCATGACGAGGTCTATTTACTGTAAACTTTCCTTAGTTAATAGCCTTAGGGCCTGTTTACATGGAGTGGGGGACCCCGGTCTAGTGGGGTTGGTTTCTTTTGTTTTCACGCTCTGGGGGACACAAAACAAAAGAAACTTACCCCACTAGACCGGGGTCCCCCACTCCACGTAAACAGGGTCTTAGTCTTGATTTGTATATTTTGTACTCATTGTCCCGTCTCGGATAGCCTTGCTAGCTACGGGCAATACTTCTGTAATGTTATTTGTTTATTATAAAGTTTTGTTGATGTTGTTAGTCTTAGTTTAGCTTTTAACCTTTATTTAGCTGAGAACTAAACGCGAGCTGATTCACATGTAGCTGCGTTTGAAGCAGAAGACACGAGCGCGGAGGGTTAAAATAATAATAATGATAATGGTATTTATTTCAACACGATTTTAAGAAAAATCAGCAAAGCAGTGATGTAGTCGTATGCATAATAATAAAATTAAACTTCCTAACTAATCACAGTGAGACTAATACAAGAAATCTACGTATTTACTACAATGAAAATTCTACACAGTGCATCATTATAATATATGTGGCTTAAAAATACACTTGAGTGACTTTTTAAAAGCATCAATGTCATGAATTGATCTCATTTGGTTTTCTAGGGCATTCCACCGAATAATTGACTTGTTTGAGCAAGATTTCCTTACCATATCGGTCTTAGGCCTCGGTAACTTAAAGGTTATTTTCCTCCTCAGATCGTAGCTGCTTACATACTTTTCAAAAAGACATTTCGTAGGACATGGTAAAAGATGATAATAAGCCTGATGAGCTAAAATTAATAATCGTTTCTCATACATCATCTCTAAGGTGCCTGGCATACACCAATCTAAGTCAAATATTATTCTTGCCGCTCTCACATGTATAGATTCTAGGTTTGAGAAAAGTACTTGACCACAAGAGCCCCAAACTAACATAACAGAGGGTAAAAAAACCCGAAAATAGAAATCAGTCCTCGCCTGTCTAGGCAGGAACTACAATGACTTAAGTAAGTTTAACTTGTGCGTAAACGATTTCGCTAGTCCGAGACTTGATAATCCCATTTAAGAGCATTGTCTATTTGGACACCTAGGCATCTTGTAGAAACAACTTACTCGATAACAAACTTGATCGCCCATCTTAATAGCTTGTTTTCAGTGGCCCAGTCAATTGCCTGCATCCACCGAGCAGCGTATACTCCGTCTTGGTAGGATGGGGAGTGAGACAACTCTCACAACACCATGTATATAGCCCTGGTAGGACTTCATTTAACTTGGAAGCCACCAGATCATAAGTCGGAGCCGAAACATAAACGGTGGTATCGTCTGCGTACATGTGAAACTGTGGGTCGCCATCTATTCCCTCAGCGATACTGGGGGAAAACAGAGTGGGGCCCAGTACGGACTCCTGTGGTACACCAAAAGTAACTGACATAGGTTGAGGTTGACATCCTTTAATCGTTGTCGCTTACGTTCTTCCAGAGAGATAATCCCTTATCCAACTCCACAAGTCCCAAGCTACACCAAGACTGTGAAGTTTTCGGAGCAGAATGGAGTGGGGAATCGCGTCAAACGCCTTACGAAAGTGCACGAAAACCACGCCTACAACATCATTCTTGTCGAGCGCTCGTCTCCAGTCATCCGTTATCTTCACTAGCAACAGCTCGGTGGAATGACCTTTTTTATACGCCCACTACTGAGGGTTCCCAAGTCCCTGTCCAGTAACATGCGTGGTAATAGTTGATGCCATCACAGACTCCATCAATTTTTCTGGCACACTTAGAAGCGAAACAGGCCTGTAATTATGCTTATCAGTTTAATCGTCCCTTTTGTAGAGAGCTGAAATGTTTGCAGCCTTCCATGTAGCGGGTACAGTGTTACAGGGCTCTGACTGTTTTTGGAGGCGGCCTTTTTATTTTTGACCATATTGTAGCAAGAACCAGCTCATGATCTGAGATTCCTAACTCAGTTGTTTTAATAGCTCCCTTGATAATCTCCGCCTTGCTAGTAATAACCAAGTCAATCAGGGTTTGTGTGTCACTTGTATTAAACTGTTGTTGGCTGGTTCCTATCGTTCATTACACTGTAGTTAAATTGCTGCAATATATCTTGTAATTTCCCAGGGGCACCCAACGACGGTTTCCTCCTAAATACATTGAAAACACTTTTTAGGCTATCAAGAGTACATTTAGATCTCTAGAAATGCATTCTAAGCGGAACTATAAAAATTTGTATCTGTTCGGTCATCCTATGCGAACTTGAGTCTTTTCGAAATTACAAGGGCTTCAGTTTTATTTTACCGAAAATTTTAGATGTCATTTAACGGATTACGAAAGTGAGAATTTTTACTAATTTCTCTCTACATCACTGTTTTGAATCCGAAAATTTTAGGTTTCCTTTTTTCTACGAAAAATAGCCTAACCTGAGGACTGAAATGTGAAAAATTAAACTTTTGAAAATCGTAGGGGATTTCAACATTAGATAAGCTTCGAAAATTGTACATGAATGTAGGAGTAATCTAGAAATTTTTAGTCGTTCTCAAGCAAAAGAAAATTCTAGGAAATATTTGCTTCTCCGAACAGATATTTTGCAGAAAACAGTGGTTGGGTGCCCCTGATTTCCTAACGGCATATGATGTAACACCCTCGTAGCTACCAAAATAGTCCAGATTCAAATCACCGACGGGCAAGACATTCCTATGCCTAAGCCACTCTTCTCCAGACAGTCATAAAATCGCCTGTAGAACTGGAAGTCAGAAGGAGGTCGATAACAATTTCCTAAGATCAACGCAGGAGAATTTTGCATAATTTTGATCCAAATTAATTCAATATCAGGAGGCTCCAGGGAGGTGAAAAGAAAGATGACATCTGTTATGCGGGCATACGAGCCTGTTACTCATTTTATGTAGCGTGTTAAAATTGAATATTACAAATACGTAATGTGTAGAGAATAAGAAATAAACTAGCCTGCGTGGCCAGCGTGGCGGGCGAATTGAACCAACTAAGCCGACAACGGTACTGCCGGTTCATGTTTCTCGAGATCGAACAACTCAGCTGATGACTGCCCTGGAAGGTTAAGATAACGAAGTGTTCTTATTTTAAAAAATTGCTGCTAAATGCAAAGGTGTCGGACACTATGATGGAAAATTGTCTTTAGCCCAGTCACGATTAGTTTTTTGCTATTACTGATGGAGGCAACGATCTTTCTAGCAGCTTTCACGTAGTATTCCTCCGCCCCGGCCTTGCGAAGTCACTGCGACGTACGACCCTCTAACAGCAACACAAGAAGAGAAACTGTAGAAACCATTTGGAAAGATAGAAACTTTTATGTTTTGTTAAAAATGTCCTTCCAGTGTTGGTGTTGCGGTACTTTTTACATAAATTACACAAACGTGACTTGTCATTGCGTTTTCATAAAAGTATTTTGAAAAAGGCAGAGCAAAGCTTGGTTTAAAAATCGTAATTTTTACGCTCCCATGTTGTCTAATGCAATCCTCAGACCTCTGGTTAGCGGTTTGTCTACAACATAAGTGATTCACCATACAATTTCATGAAAAAATAAAATAAAATAAAAATAAGGAATTCAATGTCAGAATGATAGCTTACACACGTTTATTGGGTCCATTTTAGCAGGATTAAACACCTGGTAAGATAAACAATTTTTTAAATGATTTTCTAATTTAGAACACTGATAGTTGAGTGGATGTTCTCTCGAACTGCATCAGATTTGACAAACATACATCAAATATACACATAACAGTTTGTTAAAAAGGAATTCAAAGTCCAGAATTATAAATAAAAAGTTGAAGTTAATCGTGCCATAAAAATTGTAATATAATGCAAACCGCTCGACATTGGCTCATTCACTTTTTTTGTCATGCCTAGCTTTAATGTAAGCATGGAAGTAAAAATTTCCAAATAATCCCAGCATACTAAAACCATAAAATATACTAAAAATGCAGAATCCATGATGAGCGTAACCAAACGATGAGTGCACAATGCCAACAATAAACTGAAACATTTGGAGCTGTGTCAAGGTTTTTCTCCATTGTGGTCTTTGAGTTGGGTAAAGAGCTGATTGGCCATAATAAAAATAGAGGAATACATGTACAAATGAGTTCATTCCCAACATCACACCAATTGCTGGCCATGGAGTGTGGTGGTATGCATAGTCACTTAACAACAAAATTGAAGCATGATGGTAAACCTAAAAAAACACAAAAATAATAATTACAAAGATAGGGTAAGCCCTAACTTCACTTCATATTTATTCTATAAGCTAAATTTTTCATAGTGCCAGCAGGAAAGAAATAATAATATTTTGAGAAAAGTTATGACTGTTGACTTTTAAATTCTGTAGACATGTTTCAGAAGAACAACATCCATTGTCACTACAGAACCTGTAAAAAAATATTGGTTATATTCTCTAGAATTCTTATCATGTTGTAATAAGATATATGTTCACATTTATGGTCATGTCATAATCAGCTATTTGTTTCACTCCTCATTTATATAAATACCCAATAGCAGGTTCTGTATTGCCTATAGATGTTGTTCATCCCATACATGTCTACACAATTTTTCCTTACTTTTCTCAAAATTCTGTATAAGCTACAGTAACCCCTATCCACTCATCATATTATCTCTTTCCCAGTCCCCCTTCCCCAACATAAGAGACTGCAAAAATTTACTTCTATGAAGAAATACGTGGCTGTAGTCTTGTCAGTGATTAAATACATGCAAAAATGTTACAGAAACGGTGCTATGAGTGAAAAATTTTTTGAAGATCATAGAAAAAATGGGCTAAATTCCAAACTAAAGCATATAAAAGCTATTTTATCCAGGAGATTTGGTGATCATGTGAGGGTGATTGATGGATTTGTGCCCTATGTGGGATCAAATTGTCAGATAATACGGCAAAAGAGTTGGCATAAATCCAATACACCAAAGAAAAATGTAAAGCCATTCATCTTAAACAGGGGCCACATACTCACATAGGGTACCTCAAAGAGAAATACATACACACAACACCCAAAAGGAAGATTTCCAAAATAACTTGTATCCATCATCACCTATTTCTGTCTTGCTCAAGCTTGTAAAGTACTACTAGCTTTTATGTTACTACGTTCAATGCAGTGGAACCCTGCTCAAGAGAAACCTGCTTACCAATATAACATATAGCTAGATTTAGGCAGGGCTAGAAGTGAAGCACTCATCAATATACTTATAGTTTACTCAAACAAAAACTAAGATAATGTAATGCTAAATGGTGACAGCAACAAGAATGGCAAAAAATCAATAGGTTTAATAATTTAGCAAAAACAACAACTTTGCATGTGCAGCACACCTTTTTGGACATTTCCTTGCCGTAGTTTTGCACGACTACAACGTGAAACTTCCTAGTTACCCTTTTTACGAAGGAAATGACAACATGTGTTCCTGTTTGCCTTTTTTTTCACTTCTGCTCATTTTGACCTTGGTAGCCAAAAGTATTTATATTTCCCCGCAACTGCAATAAAATTTTCACGCTTTATCTTCCAACGAAATTCACCTCTTTTGTTTTTATCTCTCACTCTAGCAGAGGTTTCAATAAAAATTGAAGTAGCCAGCAGGTTTGAATAGAGTAGCTGACTGTATTAACAAGGGGCTGTTACTCCCTTTTTCTAGGGAAGGTGGGGGGGGGGGGGGGGGTGTCTAGGGTGTGCTTCCCCAGAAAAGTTTGAAATTTCAAAGCTCTAACATGCAATTTCAGCGTTCTGTGAACTAAATTGAGGAAAAAAGAGCGTGCTTATCATTCAAGAAAATGAAGCTTTCATTCAACTTTTGAATTATCAGTCACAATCACCTCCTACAAGCAATGAACAAATGATGAAAACTAAATTACATACTTTTGCATGTTAACAAATTCTGCATAAACCTATAAAGAAACCTAGGAAAATTAAATGAAATATAGCGCTCACATGACTAAAGCATATGATTACTCATTTTAATTTGATCATGTTTATATGACAGGTGGGGTGACCCACCACCTGTTACCTCACCTATCTGGGGTCCCTTACCTCCATGTTATCAGGACCTTAGTCTGTGCATGTGACTATGACATATGATCCTGAGATTTCTTTAGGAAGAACTTGTTTCATTTGTAGCTAAGAAATTAAGCAAAGCTCTCTAGTTGAAATGTCTGCTTAGTCTTTATATAGATAAACCAGGTCTCTGTGAGGTATAGTTTTTTCTGAGAGCCTGCTTAATATCGATACTAATGGCTTGCCCCCTTGCAATTGATGTCCATGTTAACCCGGGTTCCACTGTATTCCCTTTTACACAAATGCCAGGCCAGCTGTTTGCTGTCCAAGCCAGCTGATTGCTGTCCTAATAATATATTACTTAGTCCATTTGCTAGAATTAAGCAAAGAGGAAAATGGTATTTAACAGCATACTGCAACTTACATGTAGAAATGTTATTTGCCTTTGCCGGTGTCTTACAATCATAAACACAGTATCCAGTAACTCAAGATGCTTGGTGATCCAATAGATAAAGAATGCATGTTTTACTTCAGCATCATCCACCATGGCAAATGTATAAAGCAAGCCAGCATTATAATAGGCCCTTAGAATGATGGCCAACGAGTACAGACTGAGTGCACTGCAGAGAAAGTTATAGCCCACAAGCACCTGAAACAAACCATAAAAGCAAATTTAATAACTCATTAATATTCAGTACGCATATTAAATATATTATACTTTTATTGACCTGCATGTACATCTTACTGTGTTTTGTGTTGCATGTTGTATTGACCTGTATCAGACAGGAGTGAGAGCGCAAATGAACAGTACAGCAATACAGTGAAGGATGACTTCTTTACCCAACACCATCAGCCAAAACATTGAAAACCACATACCACAAGGCTAGATGATACCGCAACACCACAAATTAAAATCAAAATTAATGAAGTACTGTTTGAGAAAAAGCTTGATACCACATGCTACATTAAACCCCAATGGCCTCCTTGTTATTTAATTTCCTGTGATCAGATTGGTCAAATTTGTCTAGGTGGCCTTGCGTGGTTACCGTATTTATTCGATTAACCGCCCTGGGCGCTTATTAAATTTTTGGACCTTGAGAGTGGGCGCTTATTCCAGGTGGGCGCTTATTTGAGGCTGACCGCTTATTAAATTTTCACCATTTTCAACAAGTGTAGTATATATATTTTGCAAGAAAACAGTAAGTGGTAATAACAAAACGTGAAGACGTAACAAAGCAAGGCTTCTGCAAGACACTCTGAAGAAAACTCCGTCTTCGGGGAAGTCTCAAATTAGTACTTATTCCTTTTTTTGGGGTGGTAGTGGGAAGGGAGTGGGGGCTTATTTGGGTTTGAGTGGGATTGAGAGGGAGGTGGGGTGGGGTGGGGTGGGGTGGGAGTGGGGGCTTATTCGAGGCTGGGTGCCTATTAACTTTTTCTGCCTTTAGGATGGGTGCTTATTCGAGGTGGGTGCTAATTCGAGGTTGGGCACTTATTCCAATAAATATATTAATTAGGTAGTCACACTGCAAGAAAATGAATCATTGGTAAAAACTTAAGAGTTTGAAAAGCCACCTTGTGCAATCCTAGAGGTGAAGTGAACTTCTTCCATAGCACAGATGCTATAATAAGGATGAAATAAACCACAGCAACAGGGAAAGACTGCAATTCCACAACAGCTTTAAAGAAATTCAAATATTTCTCTGCAAAAGAAATACAGACAGAAGATAAGTGTAGATGGGGTTCAAAAAAGTCTGTCTTTCAAAAAACAACTCTGAGCCTTGGTTTGTTGGTTGAAAAGAATGTTCTGCTGGTGTCCCACAAAAGGCCACATCCCAGAACTTGACCCAGCAAAAAGTGCTATCTAGATTCCTCCAACTGCAAGTAAATTAATTGACAGTTTCTACATACATGCATGTTTTCTTGCTTTTTTTATGCTGCTGCATTTTCATTTAGGCAGGCTGCTTGACTTCTTTGTTCAGGGTTGGAGCAACAAACAAAAACTCTTATTTGACATAAATTATATCAAGAGAGAGATCAAAAGGATAAATTGTTTGTTAATTTCAACATGTGGCAGATGTTTAACTGAATTGCATGTTTGTTACATAGAAAAATAAATAAATAACAAAATGTATATACAGTGAAGATTAAAACTGAAAAATATCATTATATTTATGAGGTCATGCTAAAAGTACAGAAAGTAGTCTGGCAAGTCAGTTGAGGAGTGGCTGATGATAAAGGAGGTCTCGTATCTGTTTGTTCTAAAAGCAGCAACATTGAAATGATGTTTGTTAAGTAGCAGAGTGTGCTGATTGGTTCTTGGGGGTAAAAGGGAGGGGCAAGCTTGTGGTCTTTGTTGCTCAATATTTTCTGAAATAAATCAGATGACAGATTTTCATGCCTATCTCCTATAAAGAAGGGGATGCCAGCTATACTTCAAGTGCCTTCTTGATGATAAGTTAAGGGAATATACGATGAATTTGCTCAATCTCATCAGAAAGAAAGATAGCCAGAGAGGCTATGGTGAAACACCTGGCAAACATACTCTAGAAAGTATCTAATAACAGCTACAGCAATGAAAATAAAACCAAGTCCCTTGAACTGATACGAGTGCACTTGACCTGACACAATAGGTATAAGCTTTTGGGTTAGAGACTAAGACTAAGACTCCTTTAACATAACTTCCTTTGGCCACCTTGGATATAGTTTGTCTATGCGCTCGTTTCATTTTAAACTGTTCTATAAAGTAAGACTAGGGACCGCAGAGACCATTTTAAAGTGGTACGCCCGAGACAAGCAAATGACCCGGCTGCTGCCCTCGTTTCTCACGTCTTGGGGCTTCGCCGTTCAACGCTCGCACGTGCGTGCACTCCCCTTACCGCTTTGAAATCTGAAGAAAAAGACTGCTCGCAGTCTAGCATTTGCACGCCATCTTATTTACAGCCTCAACAAATATAACATAAAAGTTGTCATGTGTTATAGTATCCAGTATAGCCAATATGTTGAATAAACCTTCCTAAGATTGCCACTTTGAAGTTGTCAGCAGTGCCAAAATAATATTTCTCTTGCGGTCCTCATTGCTGGAAACAAACTCTTGTGCGACGTCAGCTATAGAGACACTGTCTGTTCTCCGCTTGTAACCATTCAACGTTACTACTAGGTTGCTAAACCTCTCATCACCCATCCTGGATCGAAGCCACGTCTTCAGATGCTGTACACAGTACGGATGAGAATGAACCCTCAACAGCAGCGCTGGTAATAGGATTTACAGCAAGCAGCTTACAGATAGTTTGGACTTCCTGAATTAGCTTCTTTCTGGTTCTGGAAACTTTAACACCGCCAACAGAATTTCGTCAAAACATGATATCTTCTCATCTCCTCCTCCTTTAACATAACTTCCATAGTACTTAGTTGCCCAGGTAGCGCCCCTGTATCGCAACATCTTCCCTGAATTATGCTTCAAGAAACTGAACTCCGCCCCATAGTCGTCACCATTAGCTATAGAAGATTTAAGCAAGAGGGTCTCCATCTGGGCTTAAAAGCTGAAGCTTTCCTGATTAACGCACCGATAGATAGCCCTGACGATAAGACCAATAGCCTCATAATAAGGCCTGTCCAAAGTGATCTTTAGCAGTTTGGGGATAGCTTGGTGCACCAGCACCAACCTCCAGTTATCCATTAACCTCATCAGCTTTAGCATATATTCAACAAGAGTTGACGCTTGAGACAGGTTAGTATTTCTTTGCAATTGAATGGATTCAGTTGGAGAAGGTTTTCTTAGTAGGACCAATTGTTCATGTGCTCAACAGCTTGTTGAAGATTACTGTAAGATGGTGGAGTTGTCAGCAAAATGAACGTGGAACTTTAAGATCATTGATCATGGCAAGAAACAGCCATGGCCCAAGCTGAGTCCCCTATCTATCCCAGGTCCAGAGGGGTGGGGTTTCAATTGACTTAAGCATTAACCTGACCCTTTGAGTTCCAGTACTGGCCTAGTCAAAACTCCCGGGGGGGGCACTTGGGTATTTTTTGGGTGGGTATGTGCCGCCCGGGACTCCAAATTGGTACCCCGTTCTAAAAAAAATTTCCCTCCAAATTTTAATTTGTAAAAATCATGCTGAAAAACAAATAACACCATGTGAAAGTACAGTGTACTACCAAAGCGGTTTCATTTCAATGGTCACGCCATAGGAGTTGACTTATCTAGAACTGAACAACTTTACAGGACTCATCATTCAATCTAGCACAGTGTCAAATGGTGATCGAAAGAACAACCTTCGATGACCTTCGACAGAAATCTTTGAAGTTGCGCTGAAATTTAGATTACCATAGCCATAAATATTTTCCGGCATTCTAAAACAATGGGGGCCTTTTCACAGGTGAGTCAAACAAGCTGCGATTTCAATTTTTAAGACGAGTATAAATGATGGATGTCAATATTTCGACATTCGTCGGCAAGTATAAAGAACTTGGTCCCATCTGCAGGGCGTCAATAAACTGAAAAACCGGACACTTAGATAAAAAAACAACAACAAAAACAAAAACAAAAAAAACCTTGTAGTTTGTACTACATACCTGCCCGAGATTCCATGGTGCCAGCAGGGCCAACAAATTGGCCTCTCGCCACATGCACAGAACCAAATTGAAATTCGACCGAGACTGGGATCAAACACGGCCATTTTCATCATCATGCCATCCTACGTCACGTTTCGTTTCGTTCCGTTACTTGAGTTACCAGTATGCGTAGCCTGAGTATCAGGCTTTCCTATGGGGCAAGGGGAGATTTATCAGGCCTTCCTAAGGGGCTAGGGGAGAGGAGATTTTAGATCTCCCTTTTTCGCTTCCAACTTTCCTCTTTTCCCCCAGAAACGCCTGATACTCATACTGCGGAAGAGGCCCTGTTAGGGGTAAATTCCGACAAGCGACATGGCCTTGAACCGGCGACATGAGAGCCACGAACTGGCGACGACCGACAGACTATTGCAACGAATTAGCGAAAGCGACACCAATGTCAAGACAGACCGACAGCGAATTTGAGAATTGACAGAATTGTGAATGTCCTGCAGAACATTTGCGCGTACACTATTCGGTAGTAATTACTTAATAATGAGCAATAATGGCCAATATTGGCTAATAAGGGTCCAATAAAGGCAAACAGAAATACGTCTCATTTTACTGCTGTTTTGGTTGTTCATTTCATTTGATTGACGTGTTCAGTGCATCACTCCCTTTGAGGACTTTGCCGCTTTGCGTAGGGTGAGGACAAAACATGGACCAGGGGTCCATGGACCCCCACTTTGGACTAGGTCCATGGACCCCCTGTCATGGACCGGGTCCATGGACAGTTTTTTTTTTAATAATGAGAAATGAACAAAAACAGAAATAGTGCAAAAATAAGGTTAAAAAACAACAACAACAACAAACAATGCTCGATTGATCAGTAATGTTTAATTGTGCTTACATAGTGTAAAAAAAGGGGGGGGGGGTCGGTACCTCATGCCAAAATGCTGCTTGTTCCAATGAATTGTTTTCTCTGATGGGTAGATTATGCTTCGGATGAAAATCTTTTGACTGAGCAAATGCGAATTTTTGCCGCTTATTTCATACTGAGAGGTCGTGACACACATATTGATTTTCTACCTCTTTTAAAATGTAAAGCTGTTCATTGCGGTTGATTAAAACAGTTAAAAGGGTTTTAGTTTGTTTAATTTCTCCAAAGTGCATCCTGGATCTGAATAATTCTAAGCCACTTTGTTTTTGTCCATGAATGTCACTTTTTCCTGCAATGTTTTGTCACGCTGGGCCCAGCTCCTTAGCGCTTTTATATAGCAGGATGATTATAAATTCTCACGGATAGTGATTTACAGATCCAGATCCTGAAGAAGAAGAAGTGGCATGGATTGTAGCTTGAACTGAAGCTACATCAGCTATGGAGAATTGCGATGTGACTCGGTCATGATTGCTCTAAAAGTAATGAATTCTTAACTCCAGCTTGTTTTTCTAAGGGTGATGCGAGTCTTTGTACTGGAGCGCGTAATTCCTCTCTTGGTGATAACTTTTGAATTAGTAGCTTAATTTAACAGTCTTGTGACTGCACTTGTGCAAGCAGAGTGTACGTCATGTAAGCGCAACTAAATATTTGTGATCAATCATGTGCATTGGTTGACAGTGTCTCGTGAAATCTTTTTTTGGCACTTTTTCTGTTTTTGAGTGTCCATGGACCTGATGCAAAACCTTCTTATAAAAATAAAAAAAACTGTCCATGGACCCGGTCCAAAGAGGGGGTCCATGGACCCCTGGTCCATGTTTTGTCCTCACCCCTTTGCGTATCATGTTCTCCTCCTTGCATGATCCACGTGCGCGCTCCATCAATCTGTTAGAGAGATTTTTTTTCTTTATCGATCGCGTTCATCTCGGTGTTCCAAATGGTAAGCGAGTTATTGAAATACATCACTATCAGAGTCATTAGCGAGTCGTCGGAGTGCCGTTGACGGCATCAACGGCATGGGAAAACACAAAAAAACACAAAAAGGGAAAGAAAAAGCGAGAAAGCGAGTCATTATGTTCATTGAGAGATTTTCTGAAAGACGTCAACCCAGGGTTCAACAGCTTTCTCAAACTGGTCGCCACTTTGAAACTTGTCGTGGAGAACTTTTCAGCCAAATGCGCTCCAGAAATGACATGCCAACTGCCTTGAAGTTTCCATATCTGTTTGCGCCCACCATTCGCGAGTCATTGAAACCACTCACTGACATTGGCTTTGTCTACTACACTTCCCCACACTCTTATTATGAAGTACCAGATGAGATGAAACTCCCGTTTCGAGACCTGCCTTCTTTGTCTGTTCCATCGTCAGTAGAAATGGCAAAAGATGACCAGAGGTTGATGAGAGACTGGAGGGACAGCTCTGGTAAACCGGTCCGTCAACTGACAGTTCGAAATCAAAGTACCAAGGACAATGTAGGTACACTTCCATTGTTCGCATACACAACACCAGATCAGCCTCCAAGACCATTAGATTTTTCCACCACAGACGACCTCACAGCTAGAGAAACAGTGGTCACAGAGATTGAGCAGGAAGCTGTCAGAGGAGCCATTTTATTTGAGGCAAACAGTGTTGTGGTCGTCAAGCGCGACCACATACGTGGATACCCGAACAGGGGACCCTTCTTTGTTTGAATTGTCGTAGCTGATGTCAGCGACAAGGAAGAGAATTCTTTTTGTGATATTGAGTTGTTTGTTTCTTCATTTGAAGACTGTTTGCTGTTTACTTTGAATGAAAGCGTACGAATCCACCGAGATGCTATCGTCAGTAAAGTGGGGGAAGAGCATTTTGAAAAAGGGTGCGATTTTGTGAAATTGACGGAGGTATCATACGAGACATTTCTTCGATACCAAAATGACGTGGAAGACCTTTTGCCAGACAAAGAAGGCGGTGAAGAGGACAGCGACCTCGACTCTGATGATGATGAAAACCCAGCAGACGTCGTCTTTGGAGGAATGCCACTTCGCACAACATCCGGGAGAACTGTCATCCGCCCAAATCGTCTAGACCTTTAGTTCATTTTTAACAGACTTCTTGTAAACGCATGCCTTACAGATAATGAATGGTTGATAATGTCCTTCCTCCTGGGTTGTTATAGTTACGGAAAAGCACAGTCTGACAACTAAATCAGAGTTTAACTCGGAAGAAACATTAGACTCTTGCACTACCAGAATTTTAGAAACGTTATGATAGCTCGAGTGTTTTGCCAGATTAGGCCTCGATTCACGCCAAGCCATTTTAAAAATATCTCTACACTTGTATATATTACTAAATGGAATTTTATTGACTTCAATTACTATTCCAAGTAGTCTGCATGAATATCAAACATTTATAAAGGTCTTAAAACCCTCGGCTTAAAAGTACTAAAGATAGAGGCCGTATGTTCCGTTGGCGTAGTTGCAGCGAATGCGCCGGATTGTGAGACTGGCAACGAGCTAAAAAATTATTATTGAAATTCCGACAGGCGACACGAGAATGTTCCGAAATTGCGACATAGCTGGCTGTGAAATTCAGACGGGGGACATGGGCACCCCCCCTAACAGGGACTCGCGGAACCATACTGCGTGGTGATTTTAAAATTCCCTTTGCCGTTCGTCCCTCACGCGTGCTTTCGATATACGTTGATCAAAAGAAAAATAAGAAATGGCTCGCAGTCTAGGTTGAAGACGCTATTTGGGCCTCGTTTTGACTTTATTCAGTACGCATATTAAATATATTATACTTTTATTGACCTGCATGTACATCTTACTGTGTTTTGTGTTGCATGTTGTATTGACCTGTATCAGACAGGAGTGAGAGCGGAAATGAACAGTACAGCAATACAGTGAAGGATGACTTCTTTACTCAACACCATCAGCCAAAACATTGAAAACCGCACACCACAATCGGCTAGATGATACCGCAACACCACAAATTAAAATCAAAATTAATGAAATACTGTTTGCAAAAAAGCTTGATACCACATGCTACCATAAACCCCAATGTCCCCCTTGTTATTTAATTTCCTGTGATCAGATTGGTCAAATTTGTCTAGGTGGCCTTGCATGGTTACCGTATTTATACGATTAACCGCCCTGGGCGCTTTTTGGACCTTGAGAGTGGGCGCTTATTCGAGGCTGGGTGCTTATTAAATTTTCACCATTTTCAACAAGTGTAGTATGTATATTTTGCAAGAAAACAGTAAGTGGTAATAACAAAACGCGAAGATTTAACAAAGCAAGGTTTCTGCAAAACACTCTGAAGAAGACTCCGTCTTCGAGGAAGTCTCAAATTAGTACTTCTTCCTTTTTTTGGGTGTTAGCGGGAAGGGAGTGGGCACCTATTTGATGGGATTAAGAGGGAGGTGGGGTGGGGTGGGGGTGGGGGTGGGGGCCTTATTCGAGGCTGGGCGCCTATTACCTTTTTCTGCCTTTAGGATGGGCGCTTATTCGAGGTGGGCGCTAATTCGAGGTTGGGCGCTTATTGGAATAAATACAGTAGTTAGGTAGTCACACCACAAGAAAATGAATTATTGGTAAAAACTTAAGAGTTTGAAAAGCCACCTTGTGCAATCCTAGAGGTGAAGTGAACTTCTTCCATAGCAAAGATGCTGCAATAAGGATGAAATATACCACAGCAACAGGGAAAGACTGCAATTCCACAACAGCTTTAAAGAAATTCAAATATTTCTCTGCAAAAGAAATACAGACGGAAGATAAGTGTAGAATGGGATTCAAAAAATCTGTCTTTCAAAAAACAACTCAGCCATGGTTTGTTGGTTGATAAGAATGTTCTGCTGGTGTCCCACAAAAGGCCACATCCCAGAACTTGACCCAACAAAAAGTGCTATCTAGACTCCTCCAACTGCAAGTAAATTAATTGACAGTTTCTACATACATGCATGTTTTGTTGCTTTTTTTATGCTGCTGCATTTTCATTTAGGCAGGCTGCTTGACTTTTTTGAAAGTCCAGAGACACAAATTTGTTCTGGGTTGGAGCAACAAGAAAAAACTCTTATTTGACATAAATTATATCAAGATAGAGATCAAAAGGATAAATTGCTTGTTAATTTAAACATGTGGCAGCCATTTACCTGAATTGCATGTTTGTAACAGAGAAAAATAAATAAATAACAAAATGTATGTACAGTGAACATTAAAACTAAAAAATATCATTATATTTATGAGGTCATGTTAAAAGTACAGAAAGTAGTCTGGCAAGTCGGTTAAGTGGTGGCTGATGATAAAGGGGGTCTTATATCTGTTTGTTCTGAAAACAGCAGCATTGAAATGATGTTTGTTAAGTAGCAGAGTGTGCTGATTGGTTCTTGGGGGTAAGAGGGAGGGGCAAGCTTGTGGTCTTTGTTGCTCAATATTTTCTGAAATAAATCAGATGACAGATTTTCATGCCTGTCTCCTTTAAAGAAGGGGATGCCAGCTATACTTCATGAATAAACCTTCCTAAGATTGCTACTTTGAGGTTGTCAGCAGTGCCAAAATTTCTCTCGCGGTCCTCATTGCTAGAAACAAACTCTTGTGCGACGTCAGCTATAGAGACACTGTCTGTTCTCAGCTTGTAACCATTCAACGTTACTACTAGGTTGCTAAACCTCTCATCACCCATCCTGGATCGAAGCCACGTCTTCAGATGCTGTACGCAGTACGGATGAGAATGAACCCTCACCAGCAGCGCTCATAATAGGATTTACAGCAAGCAGCTTACAGATAGTTTGGACTTCCTGAATTAGCTTCTTTTCTGGTTCTGGAAACTTTAACACTGCCAACAGGATTTCGTCAAAACATGATATCTTCTCATCTTCTCCTCCTTTAACATAACTTCCATAGTACTTAGTTGCCCAGGTAGCACCCCTGTATCACAACATCTTCCCTGAATTATGCTTCAAGAAACTGAACTCCACCTCATAGTCGTCACCATTAGCTATAGAAGCTTTAAGCAAGAGGGTCTCCATCTAGGCTTAAAAGCTGAAGCTTTCCTGATTAACGCACTGATAGATAGCCCTGACGATAAGACCAATAGCCTCATAATAAGGCCTGTCCAAAGTGATCTTCAGCAGTTTGGGGATAGCTTGGTGCACCAGCACCAACCTCCAGTTATCCATTAACCTCATCAGCTTTAGCATATATTCAACAAGAGTTGACGCTTGAGACAGGTTAGTATTTCTTTGCAATTGAATGGATTCNCTTGTAAACGCATGCCTTACAGATAATGAATGGTTGATAATGTCCTTCCTCCTGGGTTGTTATAGTTACGGAAAAGCACAGTCTGACAACTAAATCAGAGTTTAACTCGGAAGAAACATTAGACTCTTGCACTACCAGAATTTTAGAAACGTTATGATAGCTCGAGTGTTTTGCCAGATTAGGCCTCGATTCACGCCAAGCCATTTTAAAAATATCTCTACACTTGTATATATTACTAAATGGAATTTTATTGACTTCAATTACTATTCCAAGTAGTCTGCATGAATATCAAACATTTATAAAGGTCTTAAAACCCTCGGCTTAAAAGTACTAAAGATAGAGGCCGTATGTTCCGTTGGCGTAGTTGCAGCGAATGCGCCGGATTGTGAGACTGGCAACGAGCTAAAAAATTATTATTGAAATTCCGACAGGCGACACGAGAATGTTCCGAAATTGCGACATAGCTGGCTGTGAAATTCAGACGGGGGACATGGGCACCCCCCCTAACAGGGACTCGCGGAACCATACTGCGTGGTGATTTTAAAATTCCCTTTGCCGTTCGTCCCTCACGCGTGCTTTCGATATACGTTGATCAAAAGAAAAATAAGAAATGGCTCGCAGTCTAGGTTGAAGACGCTATTTGGGCCTCGTTTTGACTTGCCTACAAGTCGAGCTCATAGTCTTTCACGAGCGCGAAGCGCGAGCGGTAGATTTTCTGCAGCAAGAGCGAGAGCTGGAACTACCGGAACCGGAAATAAGAAGCGAAGGACTTTGAGAAAGTCTAAGGTCTAGGCTTCGTCAATAGACCTTGTCACGGTTTTCGACGCCATCTTGACGAGTAGGCAAGCGTGTGCGGAAAAAAATATGACTTGTAAACTAAAGCTAGAAAACAAAGGATTGTACTTAAACATTTTTGGGGCGTAACTGTGCTTAAATTTCCCCAGAGGCTTGCTTTAGATTTCCCATACATTTGCCTGTAATTTTTCCCGGGAATTTCTTACAGACAAATGTGTAGAAAATTTTAAAAAGTGGTTCTAGGTCTTCTAGCGCATTTGACGCCCTCGATTTTTTTCAGCAGAATCCTTAGGAGTGTAGCTTTAGTTTACAAGTCACATTTTTTCAGAACAGCCGTTCTACGGAAATTATTCGACATTAGATTCTCATACAAACACTGTAATTTCTCACGCGTTTGCCTACTCGTCAAGATGGCGTCGAGAACCGTGACAAGGTCTATTCGTCCAGACTGGGCGCGATGAAGAAGCCCTTCCCCCTGCCCTTCCCCATTTCCTACCCTTGTTTGGAACGAGGGCGGAACTCCCCTCCTTTTTACCATTGATTTGCATAATTTTTTTTGTCGCTCTCCGCGCCTGGTTCTGCGGAAAGAAGGACGATCGCTCGCGCAATCTCGTCTCAGAGTTCGCGTTCCTTTGTCCAGCGCAACGGGCCCTGTCGCT